AACATCAGCTGCTGTGGAGATTTAGCCTTGCTGGGCTGCAGAGCTCGGGCCAATGAATCCTCCTGAAAGACTTCATCATGGTTCCTTCTCTCTGAGGAAAGCTTTGCTAGCAAGTAGGTGTACCCACTCCCATAAGGGACCTGATCAGGGTAGTGGAAAATTCAGGCAGGGTGAGTTGTGTCCAGGCTGTATCTCCCATTGCTTTATCTGTAGGTTGAGGAGGTAGGTGCCAACTTTAAATGACTTCAGAGTAGCATCAGGTACCATGCCAAAAATCATCTCTCTACTTCCCACCATGACTCAATGAAGTGCCTAGAACTGTCACAATTGGTCATTCCTTTGGTTTAAGGCTTTGGAGGCATCTGTAAAAGTCATATATAATTGGTATTGCTTTGTTCATTTGCATCTCCTGTAATTCACCGCCCCCCCGACACACACACAACTTCCACTGTGTCCAAGGTCCCGTCCTGGTGCCCTGCTAGTTACCCAGTCCTAGGATAAAGCTCACAGATCATTCTCCTTCCCCTGAGTCTAGAGATGAACTTCCAAATGCAGAGGAAGAGCTATGGCCCTTCTGGCAGATGAGCTGTCCCCAACATCCTGCCTGACTGGCATCTTGCACAACTTTTGTGGCCTGGCCTCCCTGCTTCCCCTCCACCTTTCCCACTCCCACCTTTCTGTGTACTTGAGGTCTTGCTGCCTGACCTTTTTAATGCCTAGCCTGGAGCATGCCCTGCTGGCTCTTTCCCAACACCCTCGGATATAATCTTCTGCCCACAAGCAGGGCCTTCAGCCAGCTTTATCCCATAGCAGCCCCACCATCCCTTCCCACGCCTACGCCAGGGAATAGGCCCAGCTTAGAAGGCCCCAAGTATTTCATAATAATTTGTTCTGGAAGAAATAACAGTTGCAACATTAAACATTTCCAGCTTAATAAATGATGTGTACTTGTTTTAATTCAAATCTTTTATAAACTCTCCTTCTGCTTCTATGACTGAAAAGATTTCTGTCCCTTGAGGTTTTTGCAGAAGAAGGTTATGTGTGTTTGTAACAATTGGTGCCAAACAGTGTTGTTTTAGGTACCGTTTGAATTCTGTGTCTTTCAAAACTGTTAGGCCAGACTGAGTTAAAAGGACAGCTGCATCTTGGAGCTTCCTGGAAGAAATTTGGATCCCCTACCTGGTTTCTTCCCCTGTTCATCCATGGCCTTTTCAGAGGTCATATCTGTTTCAGTGTTAGCTCCTCAAAAAGGACTTTCCTTCACCCTATCTGAAAAAAGACTATCCTTCCCTCACTTTTGTTAGCCCCCAGTGTGCTTCCTTCATGACCTTACCACAACTTGAAATTATGTGATGTGTTTGTTTCCTTGCATTAGAGGGCCTCCCACACCAGATTGTAAACTAGACAAGGCAACCAAGGAACCAAGTTTGGTATATAAAATTATAATTCTTAAAACCCAATGTAATGCCTAGCCATAGCTGTTCAATAAATATTTGTAGAATGGAAATTTTCTCTTTTCCACTTGAAATAATGATAAAAATCTATATTGCCTATCCATCTCTGATAACCATCAAGTGACCAAGAAGAAAAACCACTCGCCCTATTCTATTTATGTATCTATCATTTGAGAATTCTGCTTCTGTCCAGGGTCAATACATGGGCCAACTGCAGAGCTTCCAGGGTCTCCTGATGACAGGGAGCTGGGTGGCTTATTTTTGGCCTCACTCTTTTTCTCATCATGAAAGCAACCCTTCAAATAACTTACAAAGTGCCCAGTGCCCATGTTTGTTTGTCTCTTTGCTGACAAAATTTGCTATTAGGGAAAAAAAATCTGAAATTCATTTATACTATGATTCTTCATAGGCCTGTTTAATCACTTAAAACTCTTCAGTCACAGGAATGAAACACTAAGTGGTAGAAATTTTGGTCTTATTTGGCACTAGAAGAAGGAAATTAAGGAAAGGGGCCTGAAGGGGCCCCTATGTTCACTCAGCTATGGTCTTTAGTGATGAGCCTTTGGTGGAGGGATAGAAAACGATAGTAGAACTGTTCTAGGTCCCTTGGGCTTTTGCAGTCTGAGTGTAATGTAAACTATTATATATTATAGTTGTATTTATAAAACTGTGAGATGTACTGTTTTCTAGGAGAAACAAAAAGAGTCCCAGGTCCTTTTACCAATTGGACTTCTCAGGCCTCTCTGGGCTGAGTACCTTACCCTTGGATAGGTGCCAAGTGCACACCTGAATCAATACAAGTGTCCTAAGATATGTATTGTGATCTTTGCAAGATCTCTTCAAAAGAGCTTCCCTGTCCTAATAAACAAGACTGACAGGAAGTAAAGATAACCCCTCCATTTCTTTTTCCTAGCCTTTGTTTATTTTTTTCAGAAATGGCACCTATTTGTTGTTGAAAGACTAGATGGTCCCTTGATTCTTTCTTGCAATATGAATCATTTCTCCTTTTCAAAGAGATGTGATCCCATTTGGAGAGGCCAGTGAGAAGCCACCCCACTGTTGGAGAAACTTTCTGGACCTCAGTTTCCATGTCTATAAAATGAGGATAGTAAGACCAATTTCAGAGTCACCCTTGAGGTCTCCACATGTCTCTAAAATCATAACCACTCATTAAGGTTCAAATCTGCCCTTGCCTATATTTCTATTTTTATATGTATCATTTCCTAGAGCCTTATGGTTCTTAGAATCGGTGATAAATGAATTCCCATTTAATTCTATCCTAACTGTTTCCTTTATGTGTGAGTTAATTTGATCACTGTAGAATAGAGCAAGTTATGAGCTCCAAAAGGGGAAGTTTTGAAATCATCCCTCAACATCCCAGGTTTTCAAATACCATGTATTCAAAATAACAACAGTAAAAGCTACCATTTAATGACAGACTATTATGCCCCAAGCACTCTGCTGGACATTATATACAGTCTCCCATTTATCAAACCTCTGAGGTAGATATTACTAGGCCCAATTTACAGATAAAGAAACAAAGTCTCAGACATTAAGAAGTTCCCTGGAGTCCAGACATAAATACACAGCTGAGATTTTAACACCTGTAGATCTGATTCCAAAGCTCCGCCGTCTGCCATTAAGTCTCCTATCCTTTTATAGTCACAGCATAAAAGGGACACAAAAGAGAGATACTTGTAGAGACAGAGTTTATTATGGCAAATTACACAAACTGCTTGCTTTTTCCTTTCTGAAAATCTCACTATCAAGGACCGATCTCATAGAATTTCTAATTCCGAAACACTCATTTCACAAACCAAACACATTTCAGAGATGGAAGGACAGAGAATCTTAATGCCAGTGCTAGATAAAAATGATCCCAGGGACCTGAGATGACCAGTCATTTCTTTCCTCAATGATATCCTAGTCAGTTCCCTCCCATCTCTACTCTCATCCTTTCCATTTACTAATAACATCCAAATACCAGCAGAGGGGCCCAGAAATGGGCCCCAGCAGGTAGAGGATTAGTCTCTTTCTAAATCTTCACCCTCTCTGTCCCAACTTCTCATGCCTATCCATGTAGACTAATAGCACTAAAATGATGACGCTCAGCCCCTCTGCCAGGCAACTGGAGAGGAGGCAGGAAGACATAAGTTTCTCTAGCTTCCTTTCCTTATTTCAGGACTCCCTGTCACAATCCTATCAGCAAGCATGCGTGTGCACATACACACACACACACATGCATTCTTAAAATGTAATAATGTCTCTATAAGTCTCAGAATCCAATTCTGTGCATATTTTATCTGCATTCAAAATGGCAGCCACCAGGACAGTTCCTGGGGTAGGCTAGGCTTTTTCTGCAACCCCACCTAGCGATCTTGTTAGGGAGACCAGGAAAATGTTAAGGTCTCTGTGTGAAATAAGCACCTTGCCAAAAAAGCTAGAGATTCTCCTACTGCTTCCATGGACCTGCAGATGCTTCCTGGGAAAGAGAGATCTGGGGCCTCAATAGCTGTCATTACATCTGACTTTAGCATTCAAAATTGGCAGTCAGTAAGAAATAAATAGGAGAGAAAATAGTTTTCCAGTGTCTTCTCTCCTTTTTTAAATCTTCATATTCACAGAATTATTTTCTCAAGAGGAATCTAAGAAGCATAATGCTCTCTTTCTTTTAGAGAGTCCTTGGGAAATTCCACTGGCCTCAGTGGTTGGAGAACTGGTCAGGATCTGAGAGAGCATGGTAGCTTCTTGAGCATTCCTGTTGATAAAATCTTTAGAGGAACACTGAATGAACAGCCAAGGGAAGAAAGACAAGGATGGCAAAGGAGGTACAAGGTAACAGGTGGTGGCAGGAATACCTGTGGAGTTTTTGTGTACAGTGACTCCCTAGAAGAGCTGGCACCCTCATGGGCTGGGTGTACACCCTGGCAGAAGAAAAGGCTGCAACATCACCAATGTGAGTCATTTGTCAAATACATATCTAGGCCCTTATAAAGTTGAGGCTGCTGGTCAAGTTTTAAGGATCCTTTTTTAAGACTGAGTAGAGGGAGGGGCAGCCAAGGCAACCACCTTAGCACCACTCCAGGGGCACATATAATCCAAGTTTTTTGATTGATGCTCTTTATTGACTGAGAACCTTGGACTCTTCCTTAGGAAAGAGAGAGGATGAGCAGGTCAAGGAAGCCGTAAGAACTTGGAGAACCTATCTGGTATTTTGCTGGTATTGTCTCCCTGTGGCTATCCTTCCCAGGCCAGATTTTGCCATGGTTCCCTTCAATTCCTCTACCCTATTCAACAAGCAATCCAAAAGACTTCCCTGAATATACTAGGTAGAGCATGGGGAGGGGACAACAGTGTGGCGAGTAGCCACATCTCTGCTACACTCTCAGAGCTGTGGTTCTAGAATTAATGAGCAATGCCAAGAAGATCCAGTCTCAAAAGGAGCAGAAAATTGATGAGAAGGAAAGCATGTGTTAGAAGGGACACACCTTCCCTCTCTGAACCTTCTTTGATTCTACCTGGTCCTAGTCCTTCCACATTGAAGTGTCACACTGATAAGTCGTCTGACCTGGCTTTGCTGCTGGCCTTGCTAAGGCGGCGCTTGTCATTATGATAGCCATGGGAAAGGCGGTGACCTGAGGAGACCCCATTTGGCACCTCAGATTTCTGGGCATAATGCATGTGGATGAAACCTTCCCCAGGAATCTGCTCACAGCATTGCACTTGCTCAGAGGCTAGGGTGTCTGGGTTCTCTTGGGAGATCACGTTGTTACTGAAAGGATTGAAGAACTTTCCCCCAGGGCCATTCTCCAGGCACTGACTGAAGTCAGGGGGAGGTGTGCAGCTCTGGACTCGGCCTGCTGAGGGACCAGGAAGCTGGCGCTCAGCCATGACCTGGGGAGACTTGACAAAACGCTGTCTGACCTTCTTCCAGCCCAGGTGGTAGAGTTCAGCCAAGCTGAGGAAGAGGGACAGTGCGGCCACAGCCAGCATAAAGACGATGAAGACATTCTTCTCCGTGGGTCGCGAGACGTAGCAGTTGACAGGGTGGGGACAAGGACTCCTGCGGCAGACATGCAAGGTGTTCAGGAAGATCCCATAGAGGAGATACTGGCCCACAATGAAGGCCACCTCCATCGTGGTGCGGATCAGAATGGTGCAGACATAGGTGTTGAGCAGAGTGCCCTGGAGGACAATCTTTCCATTCACTTCCTCCCAGCAGGACAGCTCCGTCTTTTCGGCCATGGAATACTGGTAAGAGCCCGTGCCCTGTGACTCTTTGGCTCTCTCAGCTTCGCGCAGCTTCCGCTTCTCCTGCATGCGCACCATGTGCATGGCGTGGCCCATGTACACCAGGGATGGCGTGGACACGAAAATGATCTGCAGCACCCAGTAGCGAATATGTGAAATGGGGAAGGCTTGATCGTAGCAGACATTCTGACAGCCAGGCTGAATGGTGTCACACCGGAAGTCAGCCTGTTCATCCCCCCAAGAAGACTCAGCAGCCGTGCCGAGCACAAGCATGCGGAAAATGAATAGGACAGTGAGCCAAACCTTGCCAATGACCGTGGAGTGCTTGTGTACTTCCTCCAGGAACTCTCCCAGGAAGCTCCAGTCACCCATCTTGGCAGAGGCAGGGGACCAACGCTGAGACTTCTGCAAGGGGGGTAGAGAGAGAGAGAGAGAGAGAGAAAAAGAGGGGATTTTTCTGCAGATGTCTGGAAGGTCCTATCAAGCTCTAGACATTCGTTGATCCATACCTATGCGCTCTTTAAGAAAGTGCAATTTGCAAGTCAAACGCACCTCCGGCCCCCAGCAAAAATAAAAAGAGGGAATTTGAAGCAAGGTTAGAGCATGGTTCCTTCACTTTAAAGTATCTAGAGATCATCTGAGATGTGGATTCTGAGCTCTTGTCCCCAGACATTCTACTTCAGGAGGCAGGATGGCTCCTAAGAATCCGAATTTGTGGCAAGCATTTCAGGTTATCTTGGTGCAGACTGCTTGCACCTGGAGAAACACTGGAGCAGGGGAAACAGTTTTGGAGTCTACAAATGTGACTCTGGACAATTTCTTCATCAAATCTGTTTCCTCATCTGTCAAATGGGGATGGGAGTAGTGACATCAGAGGATTTGGAGGATCAAGTGAGATGAAGTATGTGATATGCTGAAAATCATATCACAGTCAGGTGGACAGGTAGAAGAGAAGGTTTTTATGGCTCCAGAGAGCATAACTAGATGAAAAGGAAGGGGTGAGGAGGAGAATGGCAAATGTGCCTTCTCACAATGCATCCTGTAAGGATCAGAACCATCCAGCTGGGTTGAAAGGCGATGAACAAAAGCGTGCTTCCATCACTCTACAGGCAATGAGGCACAACCATTCCAACTGTGCTTACTTTGATTGCTAAGTGTTCTGTCTATAGAAATATTTGTGAGTTTTCTTTGTCAAACCATGCCTCCTGGCAGATTCCCAAATGCCCTTTTTCCAACTACTTCCTCCATGCCCCCTCACCTGAGGTGAATGCCATTTACCTTTCAAAATTTAACACAGTCATTCCTTTCTCTAGACCTCTTTGCTCCCTCTTCAGCAACTATGGTGACATGGGAACACTCACTCCTCTCCCAACACTTGTACCATGTTTTTATAATCCTCTGCCTATCTGTGTTCTTCTAGCAGGGACTTTTGGAAAACAAAGACTATTTTTTTATCATGTTAGCTACTGAGCATAAAGCAGGAAGGAGAGACAAACAAGGATTCTCTGCCTTAACTTAGTTTAACTATCTTTATTTCCTTTAATGGAAGAAATTAAATACATAATTTCAATAAAACATGATGCATATTAACATGAATGAAGTGCAAGTTACTATGAGAGCATATGTCATCAGAACCTGTCCTAGACAGAGGGGAGAAATGGCCCAAACAATGTATGCACATGTAAATAAATGAATACATTAAAAAAAAAATTTGTCCCAGAGTAGGTAGGTGCTCAGTTCATCTTAGTTGAGTGACGGAAGGAATGGGTAACAGGCACTGATAATTCCTGCCCAATGGCAAGCCAATTCCCTGTTCCTTGCCTGCCTCTCACTAACAAGGGAAGGAGCCAGATAGCACTTTGTCAGTCTCTAACTCATTCAGTTCTGGCCAACAAGGGATGGGGGCAGGCTAATATGGAGGGAATGCTGTGGAAAAGATTTTTTCATTCTCCAGTAAACACATAGTCCTCCCCCTGCCCACTGTTTCTTGTCTGTGGCAAGGGTGGTGTGAACCAAAATGTCTGAAGCTACCCATAGACTCTCAGAAATGCTGGCCAGTGCCCTGGGACCTCTGAATCAATTCTTAAGTCTCCTACCGTCAGAATTCTTTCTTGGTGAACAATAAACATCTACAGTTAAAACCTTTAACCAATCCTAGTCAGCAGGATGTCAAAAAGGCAAGAACTGAACATAAATATTCTCTTCTTAGAATAATAAAACATTAGTTTTGGATGGAACCTTAGAAGTTGTCAGTTTTGAATTTTGATCTTCATATTTTTGGAGCCAACAACCCCTGGTTTCTATGGAACATTCTTTACTGTGTGGGGAAAGACAGGGTGAGAGTGCTGCATCTCATAGGCCAGGCTTCCTTAAGTCCTGAGTTGATTAGATCAGCCTCTTGGCTCTGATTCTCCCAGCCCCGAGCTCCCCAACCCAGAGCAAATGCAGAACCTTTGAGAGTGAAGGAGTCCCCAAGTGACTGGAAAGGGTTTCTCTTTCTCTCCATATCAAGCATCCATCCAGGTCTTGAGGCCTTCTCAAGACCTCTGGTTTGTGATTAGACATTTGCCCTTTTACTTCAGATGGTGAAGGGCCCTCTCCTTCAGCCTCTAAATGTGGAAAATTGTAAAGCGTTTGCTCAAAAGGAAAATGGCTGATTAGATAAGAGTTTGAATGGTCTGTCATCTCTTCAGGGCACATGTGCAGTGTTCAGCATCTTTAGGGTCAGCCACAGATGTACAATGACTGGATTATGGTGAGCTTCTGAGAGAAAGAGGGAAGGGAGCAGAGGAAAGGAGGAACATAAAGAGAGAAGAGGACCCGAAAATGGTAATTACATGGGGAGTTAGAAATGAAGAAAAAGAAGCCATGTAATGGTTAAGAGAACACAGGCACTGGAGTTAGGTAACGAGTTCAAATTCCTGTTCCTATCTGCTGAGCCTGAATAAACTATTCAGTGTATGTTTTACTGTCCTCATCTGCAGAGTGGATGAAGATACTATTACTTAGCTCACAGAGTGCTATGAGGTAATATAAAGAGCTCTGAGCATAGGGCTCAGATTGTAAGAGTTGAATGAAAGGCAGCCCTAACTGATAGAAGTATGAGAGGAGAAAATAGAAAGTAGAGAAAAGTGCATTACAGAGGCAAAAAGAGAAGTGACAGGAAGTGCAGAAGGTGAGGAAATGAGAAGAAAATGGAAATGGAAATTAAAAGAAAGTAAAAAGAAATAAATAGTATATTCTTCCAGGATTTGGGACAAGTTTTCCACATTTAATCCCTGAAGACTTTTCTCTTGATAATTCACTCTGTCACTCATTCTGTGTAATTCCCTAAAGAAGTAAAAATTTATAATTCCAGATAAAGAATGTGATACTTTGGTCTGGTCTGCCAAGAAGCTTGACTGCTGACTCCCTGGCTTATAGACATGGAATCCCACCTGGAAGAAATAAAGCATAGGTTCAAGAAGAGAGCACCTTGGAAAACCAGAAAGACCGTGTAGGAAGGCTGTCTCTATGAGAGGGAACAATAGAAATTAGCTAAGGAGGTGTAGGGGTGAGGCAGACCCCCAAAGTCCCTAAGCACAGGAAATAAAACGGACCTTTCATTTATGACTTCCTCTCAACCTTTAGGCAAGGTCAGAGAAACTTAAAGTTACCAGCTGCTTAGTTTTTAATGTGAAAGGTCCATGACTGAAGCTAGGTTTCTAGCTACATTGGCTTCCTTGGCCCCATAACCTCAGTGAAAGATTAGCTACTTAGGGAGTTTACTGGGTGTATGTAACACAAAATGCTTTGTAGATTATTACCCATTTCTTGGCAGGAAGTGTGTTAGGAGGGGCAAAGGAAGCTGCCCATGCCATGAATAAATTCTACCAAATACAATGGCAATTTCCCTCACTGCTTTAGTTGTAATCTTCACTGGCTTTCTACCACTTTTAAAGTTCAAACTTGAACCTGCCATTTGAGACCCTCTGCAGCACTGCCTTGTCCTATCTTTTCCCCACTGTTTCCTTCACAAACTCCATATTTAAGATACCCATATGCACACCCTACACTTTCTATTTTTCTTGGCTCTCAGGTTTCCTCCTCTTAGAATGTCCTTCTTCTTTCATTCAGTGATTTAATAAGGTTTTTTATTTTTGGAGGGAGGGAGTTTATGCAAGGTGCCAGGCATCATGCTAGCTACTAATGATACAGCAGGAAGGAGGAGATACCAAGAAGGACTCTCTGCCTTTACTTCATTTAATTGCCTTTATTTCCCTTAAGGGGAGAAGTTAAATACAAAATTTCAATAAAATATGATGTGCGTTAACGTGGAGGAAGTGCAAGGTTCCATGAGGGTGTGTGGCAGGAGCCTGGGATAACAATGTTCCATAGCTCCCTGCAATTGACACAAGTTCTGAAATCTCCAAGGCAAGAACCTGGAAGAGAACATTCCCAACTCTAAAGGTTCTTCACTTCAAAACTTTCAACATCCCCTTTCAATGTTTATATCCTGGGACAAATTTTGGAGGGGTCCCTAGGCAGCTTGTTTGGTAATAGTAACATGGTACTTGAGTGTTATGGTTTGGATATGAAGTGTCTCCTCAAAAGGCCCATGTGTTGAAGACTTGCTCCCAGGTGATTGATCATGAGGATGTTAACCTCACCAAGGGATTCACTCATTAATGAGTTCATAGCTGAATGGGCTATTAGGAGGTGGGGCCTCATTGGAGGAAGTGGGTCACTGGAGGTATGTCTTAAAAGGTGTATCTTGACCCTGGACCTTCCTCTCTCTCCCTGCTTCCTGGCTGCTGTGAGGTGAGCAGCTATCCTCTGCCATGCCCTCCTACCATGCTGCTTCTGTCTTGCCATTGACCTAAATGCAATGGAGACAGCTGACATAGACTAAAAACTCTGAAACTGTGAGTCAAAAATAAAGGAAGGAAAATTAAGGAAGGAAATCCTTCCTTAAGTTGTTTGTCTCCTGTATTTTTTTCTGATCCAGATTAGTCATAAACTCATAACAAGGACTTCTTTCTTTAACTCCACGTACATAGGAAAAAATGGAGAAGTCATCTAAATTGTCCTTAGGTCTCTCTGATGTCTCCTGGACTCTAAATTCCCATCCAGCATGTGGAATAAATTCTCACACTTGGTTAAATGCTGCCTTAGATTTGTTCTCTGAAAGTTTCTTGTCTTATCAGCCAACTTGAAAGTGCTTTTTCCGAGTTCCTACTATGTATCTGCCACTGCTCTGAGTTCTAAGAACAATACCTAGAAGGAACCAGGCCTGACAAATATCAGGCAGCCAATATCTGTTAAATTAATTGCATCAAGCATGATCCATTCCCTTACATACCTGTTTTAACAGAGGAGAAAAAATATAGATGACTTGTTCAAAGAAACAAAGACTAATGGAGAGC